ATATATATATTTAAAAGGAATGTATTTAATACATCCTTACTGAGTAAAAGTATTAATTTCTTAAACAAGCAAACAAAGATAGTTCATGTTTTACCTTTGCACATTGGTTAACTTTCCTGAGATAAATGTGGTGATAAGTTGTTATTTCATTGGCATTTTTCCTCAGTTTAAACAAAAATCACATGAGATGTAATACATTAAAGAGCATCAAAACATTTTTTAGTTTGAATGTCCTGATAAAATGGACGTGCCTTGAAAGCTGATACTTTGTTTTATCAAAAAATAAGTCACAAAAGTGAGTGAGGGAGCAGAACCAGCTTATTGTGTGTTTGTGTGTGTGTGTTGGTCTTGTTGGTGCACTTAAAAAGTGGAAACGGGGGCTATTTATGTGAGCAAATACAGGTTTTGGTCAGTCAGGTGGAAAAAGAAAACTAGGGGGTGGAAAAAGCAACCCAAGAGGTCTGTAAGAGACAGGCATGGGTCAGGCATATGCAAAATGTATTGTTATATCCTGCTAATATGTTTCCCAGCATGAGCTGCATTGTTGAGTAAGTTAATGGTGAGGGGGCAGACGGGAAACGCTAAAGGAGGTTTTTAGGGAGTTGCAGAGCACCGGTCAGACACCCAGAGGTGGGTACTGCTGCCCTTCTCAAACTCTCTCGGGACGGCGCAGTGCAGCGCTCCTGTGCTTTTAATGAATAATGTTTTACACAGGGCAGAACAACATGGAGACTTTGCTAATACGCTTGGAGAGCTCTCCAAATATAAAGTGCTCTTAATGAGCCAGGGTGCTTTTGTTCCTTTTGCTCCTGCTTTGGAGCTGGTGCCGGCTGCAGCACCCTGCTGCCAGTCCTTAGTCTGTCTCACCCATATGCCTCTGTAGTACCTGCCAGTGCTGAGCAGACACGCTGAATTGCCCCATTTGCAGTGGAGTGGTGTTGCCTGAGTTACACTTTCACCCTGGTGTCTAGGGTACATTAATCCTGATAGTCTCAGCACAGATGGTCAAAGGCTTGGCCAGAGATGGGCTCTACTAGAGCCAGCAGAGAAGAGGACTCGTGCCCTGACTGCATGAGGTCTCCTTTGTATTTAGACTTTTTAGACATGTAGATCATCAGATGGAGGGTATCAGATTCTTTGAAAATATGGCCTTGTTCTTGGATTGATAATTCCCACAAAATAGCCAAGTCAAAATGTTTCTGTAAATATTAGGTTTTCTGTACATTTTGTTAGATTTAGACACACAATTCCATCATTTTAAATCACTTGAATCACCCAGAAACACATTTGGAGTTTTATGCACTAGCTTTCTAATGATACAGTTACTGTGTTTAATATTCTAATGATAGATATATGATAGAAGTATAGAATATAGAATGTATTTATGGATAGAATTATATTGTTTTTGAATTTTTTAGAAATAGGCTGTCAAAATGCCTCTAAAGTTGGACTTGAAAAATTCCAAACAATTTTTAGCAATTTTTTTTTACATAATTCGAACATACATTAAACAATTAAGACGTTAATAAAAAATTAAAATATAAAAATATAATGAAAGTTCATATATATTTTAATGTGGCTCATGAAACATTTCTTATTAGTATCAATGTTGAAAGTTGAAAGTTTTTTTTTATATATTTTTGTAGAAATCATTTTTTTCAGGATTCTTTGATTAATAAAAAGTTCAAAAGAGCAGCATTTATTTGAAACAGTAGTCTTTTGCAACAATAGAACTGTCTTTACTATTTTTGATTAACTTAATGCGTCCTTGCTGAATAAAAGTATTTATTTCTTTCAAATTCTAAATTTAGAATGACTCAGATTTATATTTGCATTTTTCTTATAATCTTGATAATTATTATTATTGCTAATTTTGTTTGTGCAGAAAATTATAGAAAATCATATCTATATTTACAGTATATCTATATTTAAGTTGTGAATATAGGGAATGTATTTGGCACAGCATTTTTCTTTGGGGTGAAAAAAAAAAACTGGCAAGTGAACCTCTCTCTGCATTTCATGCTCTTGTTAAAATTGAGTGTCAGAAACCTAGGTGAAATATACGGTCCCCAAGCAAAATTTTCCTTTATGACAGATTTAAGAATGTCATCTGAAGTACTATGAAAAGCGGACCTTAGCAAAATGTATCTTTCATATATCAGTGACGAATACTGAAATTACCTGTCAACAGGGGAGAGGCATGGCGAGTCCAGTGTGCCTCCTCCCCTGTGTTGGGGACCAAGGGTAGCTGTCAGCTGTGCTCTCTGCAACCATACATTTCTGAAATAAAGGGCACTTTAAAAACTTCCACTGAGACGGAAGCCAATCTGACCACCCCCAACAAAACACCATTTCACAGAGGGCAGGGCCACAGGAGTCACCGCTATTACTTTGAACTTTCATGGGCAAAATTAAATATGACTTATGGCAGTTATGATTCTGGAATTTGAGCTGGAGTAGGCTAAGCATTTCCAAGCAGTGGCAACAGGTCATTCTATCGTGGGGAGGGTTAACAGCTGTGTCACTGGCACCTTGGCCTTAAAGGACCCGAGCCGTACCATCTCCTTAAAGCCTTTGTGTTTTGGAGTGAAGGGAAATATTAGCTCCTGTGGAAATAATACTTTTATATGGCCATCACAGCGCATTAAAGCGATTTAAGTTGGCAGGCAGCAGCACAATGGGAAGCATTATGAAGAGCTGGGTTTAAATAACTTGAGCCTCTGCCGTCTTCCCTATGGTGAAGAAAGCATTGTTTTTTAAAGAGTCATAGAGTGGCCCAGACCTCAGAAAACTAGCCAGTCGAAACCCTCTCTGGTCATTTTTTTTTTTAATGTTTGGGCTTGCTGACTTGTTTGTGGAGGGGGGATTTGTAGAGGATATATAACTGAACTTAGCAAAATGTCTGAAATGGTTTACAGAAGGGGTTTTCAAAAGTTTAAATGCTAAGGACCTGCTAATATGATGCATTTATGTAAGTTCATGAATAAAGACACATGTTATTTGTCATCACACAAAGTAAATTATTGCAATATCTGGAAAATAATAATAAAATAATAATAAAAAGGTTATTCACAAATATATATTGCCATTTAATGCAAATGAAAACAAAAGTTGTGTATAAAAGAAAAAAAGATACCTATAAGTTTGTGAAATTTCCCATAGATAGAT